CCTTTTCATAGATATTACCTACGTGCAGTAATGTATGAGCAAACTGTTAAAGCTGCTACCTGTCTTACACACATTCACCATCTTTTACCAACAACAAAAGACGATGATCATACTAAAAGTAAAATCTCTTTAAAATATATCAACTTATGATATTGACAACTATAATGAAATGGCTTATCAGATAGAAGAAGAAACATTTAATAAACGAACGATGATTGCACGGAAGTGATTAATTAGGATAACATTCATTCATAATAATTATATAAGAAACTGAAAAAGGATCATGACGTTTTTTCAAGTATAACATGATGTATGCGTGTGTAAAAGTGTATAGACTGTTTTTATGATATTCTCAAATACTACTATAGTGCTTGAAACTAACTAAAGCTATTTGACTATTTCTTTTCTCCTCTTCCCTTGTGCATGCCAAATGTCGTTTGAGTAACACAAGACAGGAATACATTGTATATATTATTCTAAGAAATGGTATAGATGCAAACGAATTTAGTGGGAGACGTGTGACATCGTAAAATATCAATTAAATCATAATAGCAAATAAAATTACGACCGTGGAATCGATTTAATTGCAGAATATTTGCCGAGATCAATTTCTTAGTATTATTCATTGCAAAAATTGGATGCAGTACGGAGAAGATCTCTTATGTTATTCGCGGAACATTTACAAATTAGATTGATACAGGAATTTGAAGCATACATAAAAGAATGTAAAGATACGATCGATGTATGCGCATTCAATTTTGACAATTAATAACATCGAAAAGAATTTAAACAATTTATAAAACCACTGCGTTATATGTATAATTCTCGGCACCGGGATGTTACATACCTTCGGAAGTACTCGGTATGTGTTTCTTGGCGAGTGTATTCGATTAAAATTGTAATTTGCAAATGAACCGTCTTAAAGATCGATCCTGTTTACTTGACAATATTTCGTTTTCAAATTTAAATAACATTCTTTGTTCGAGCAGTTTTCCACACAAGTACCTCATTATTTATTGTGCAGAATTACTGAAAACAACAAAGAAACATAACTCCGATAAGCAAACGAGTAGTACCGAATCTGTCTATCTCTAAACGCATTTTGAAACTTACCGATGAAGATTTATTCCGAACAGAGAAAAGAATAAATCAATATGATATTTATATACGTTAATTCGCACGACATTCCGACGCTTCGGCATTATACATTTATTCAGGGTACAACATACCGTATACAATATTTTACGTTTTGCAACATCCAAATGAGAGGTAACTACAGAAACCATTCATGTATTACTTGAAATTCTTCCTATTAACTATTTTCGTCAAATGAAATAGTAAAAGTAAGAATGTATTGGCTCGGTTTGTACCGATGATCTTCGATTCTAATTTCTTTCACTTACAATCTAAATTTCTAAGGAACTACTCCTAAACTTACTTATTCATTTGGTTTAGTAGTGATACTTTGATTAAACGAGAGTATAACGTTTAAGCAAAAGATACGGTTTATACGATGGTTTATACTGATGGTTTATAATGAAATTAATCAAAGTACTCACTTGGCGGCAAGTGCAGTGGAATCTAATTGATCAAACTCAAAGTCACTTGGCACACCTTCATAGCTAAATGGGGTTTTCGGCTCGTCGATCTTCATGTGACCATAATCTTTCTCTGGAGGATGCAGCGTCGCGATTATATTCATTTCGTCCCACTTCGTCTCTTTGCTTGGCCTATAAACAATATTTTTATGATTAAAATTTCTCTTCATGATAATTTGTTTATTATTTAGAATAGTAATGGATATTGTATGCAACAATTTAAATGATGCGAGCAAGTGATATATCGAGGAGATTAAATAAAATCGTTAAAATATAGGCAGACGATTGTTGACTTGGAAATTAGGGAACATGATAAAAGCAAAGTACATACAGTAAAAGAGAATAAGATTGATTTTAATTCGTCTAACCTAGTCGTACTAGACAGTAGATAATACTATCGTGCTTTTCAAGTGATGGAGAAGGTAACCTCAGATTCAAGATCGTATATCCTCGCAGCAAATAAATTGCGTTTTCGACGCGTGATCAGTTCGTATGTGTGAGAAAAAAAGATTTACCGGGGTAGGTCCGGATTATCGAAGCTGCTGGACGATTTTAAGATTCCTTTGGGAGGCCGTTTCGAAAGATTATCTGCCATTTTGAAAATAATTAAAATTCACAGTCCACACTTATAAAACATGACGAAAAACTGTTCCGAACACGTTGCAATTTCTGTCACAGAGACGATTATCACTCGAACTGGAAATACTTCCGGACGGACAAGTGTTTACAGACGATGACGATTTAAAACTACCGGAATAAACAATTTTTATTTTAAATCGTGAAATCACGGTCCGTGTTTGATGCCATGTTGCGCGAAACCTTGCACTTTACGTGGTACAAACGAGTGCAAAGTGTTTTGCAGAATGTACGCATACACATACATAGTAGTGTTACACAAAAATAGATAAGGCTACTTGCATAAATTTACGAACTGATTAATATATTTTTATATTTATTGACAGTAATACATGTGCGTTTGATTGTTACATATTTATGTAAATTATAAGTACAATCATTTTCTACAATTTTAACTGGGATCAACTTCAGATTCTTCACATCTTTGAGTTAGTGAATATCTATAGAAATGCGTGTATGCGTAGGTGGAACACCGTCGACACTGTCGACAGTGCAGTAGCTAGCCGTCGACAGTTTCCAATTCTCTTTCTTCCTTTACGATTGATCGAAATCAATAAAAACAGAACAAGAATAAATTTATTCTTTACTTTATCGCATGTGTAATAAAAGAACTTTTTCCTATACAATCCCGTTCAGGTTTACTGCTGTCCTCCTCACATCGCTTGAACTTCTTTTTTGCACCATCGCTTACTCCCAGCCCAGCTCCAGTGACCCACTTCCCTACTGGCGGCAAGGCCTCCGCAAGGCCAGGCGCGGTTCTAGAAAAAATCGGATCAGCTGCTAAATTCAGTCAAAATCTGAAGGCCTATATCACAGATTGAGATATCGAAATCAAAGAAAAAAAGATTTTTCTCGTCTTGATTTCCTCTATCCACCGAATGGGTTTCTACTCCGAAATTCATTCTTTCTCTATCGATTTTTCACAAAATATTACGTGCTTACTTTCCGATGTTATTTTAAATGATTTTGGGAAGGCAATATCGTATATCTTACTGATCGTATCAGAAATAATGTGACTTGTTCGTCAACGATTCGTAATACGCGCCGTAATGCTGGTGGCAGAGTAATAATAGAATAGCAGTCGCCGGAGTAGCCTTCATTGCGCGTGGGCGTGAATTCAGGAATGCCAGAATGTAGGATTTCTCCTCTTCTCAAGCTGTCCCCTACTACTTTTTTGTGCCCCCACTTACGTTATGACATGTCTAATAATGCCATATGTAAGTGGGGAGAGCACATTGAGCATACAGCAAAATGCAGTAGTGGGGAGAGCTCGGGAAGAGGAGAAATCCTACATTCTGGCATCCCTGGGCGTGATTGAAGACGGGCGAATGTACAGCATGGAGCCACGTCGAGTATTTTCCGGCCCCGGTTTTTCGCATCTTTGACCCGTGCAGAAAATGTGTTCGTGATAAAAATAATTGTACGGTGTAGCGCAGTCAATCGAGAACGTCTGTCTGTAATTAGATGAGAAGGTAACACCTCTTTTTAATGATATCGTTAATCACCGATTAAGGTTAAAACAGCCTTTCACCAATGCGACGTGTCATTCGTGCTTTTACACTTTTTACCGTGATTAACTATAATTAAAAGAATCTGGTTGGTCATTGAGAACGCGCTCGTTCATCTTGAACAGATGCTTTTATTCAAACTCCAGCATCAGCGATTGTCATAACGTGACGTTAAACTCAGCTGTGCATGTTTGTCCATATGCGTACGACACATTTTCGATTGTATCGCGCGATCGTATTTATCTAATAAATGAATTTACGTTTAAGGATCGATTTCAGTGTGTAATTCGATCTTCTTTGCAGTTCCTGGGTAAACTTCGTCGATAGAAACAGTATTGGTAACGAGGAAAATGCTTCCGCTTTCGCACAAAGACTCGAAGAATCTTGGAAACCGGATAAAGGAGAAGATCCTGGGATGGAAACGGTTGATATTCTCCGACAAGAACACCAGAAATTTATTTCTATTCCTTATATTAAATTTGTCGTTCGCGTGCGTGGAGCTGATGTATGGGATATGGACGAACAGCTTGGGTTTGATATCAGATAGTTTCCACATGTTCTTCGACTGTACTGGTCTCTTGTTCGGTCTGGCTGCGTCGGTTATAACAAAGTGGAGGGCGAACGAAAGATACTCCTATGGCTACGTCAGAGCCGAGGTTCTAGGCGGTTTCGTCAACGCTCTACTCCTATTTTTTATCGCCCTGTTCATTATGTCGGAGGCCGTTGAGAGATCCATAGAACCTCCGGAAATAAAACACGAACGGCTCTTGGTCGTGTCTATACTAGGGTTGTTAGTCAATTTGGTGGGAATGTACGTGTTTCGGCATGGGCATGGACACAGCCATGGCATGGGTCATGGTCATTCCCATTCTCATTCGGGCAGCCACGCACAGTCCCACTTGAACCACAGCCACAGCCACAGCCACGACCATCATCACGATATAGAAATTGATCCCTCGTTCAGCGGTACCAATTCTCAAATTATGAAAGGCGTCTTCTTGCATATCCTAGCGGATACTCTAGGGTCCGTAGGCGTGATCATCTCGGCGATACTGATGCGTCTGTTCGGTTGGTTCATCGCCGATCCGATCTGCTCGATGCTGATCGCAGTATTGATAGTTTTAAGTGTCGTCTCGCTGCTGAAAGACTCGTGGGAAATACTGATGCAAAGGCAGCCGGCCGTGTTGGATCACGTCCTGCCGCAGTGTTACAATAAGGTGACCCAATTGGCCGGCGTCTACAGCGTTCAAGAGCCGCATTTCTGGACGCTCTGCTCGGATGTGTACGTGGGATGCTTGAAACTGGAGGTGGCTCGATCGGTCGAGCCGAAGTACGTCGTAGCGCACACCCAAATGATTTTCCAAGCGGCCGGCATCAGGCATCTGACCGTGCAATTAGATTACGCACCCATGTGATCGACGAGAGACACGAGCGTAATCAAGTGTTCTTACAAGTGCTCCAAGACTGTATTCATCTGTGGAGTTTGCCAGAAACGAGCGAGGAACGTCGCGCTGGTGCAAAATATTATTGCCATTTTTAAATTGTGCGGGAGCATCATTCCGAGTAACAGTGAATATCACTTTCGATTACAGATCATTTAAAATATCTGTATGGGTCTTAAGAAACAAACTGCGATGAACCGTGACTCGGGATATCAAATATATTCCTAAGGATCATCAATCTCGTCGTCGAATTAGCGCATTTAACAATTTGTATTCTTCGCGGATTTTAATTCTGTCCTTGTACATATTAGATATTAGCCCATCTGTATCAGGTAATTTAGTTCAAAACTTCAATCCTGTACCATTTGTTGATCGAGAACCGTAATGTTTTTTGTATTATCGTATGGAAGCCTTTATATCGAAATGCATTTACATTTTGAGAAACCGAAGGTGCGTTACATTATACTTTTTTACCCTTGCCGAGGCAGCAAACACTTTTTTTACATCGCTTTTGTTAATACGTTCGTTAGTACTTAAAAGACCAGTCTCGAACATTGTGGTCAAACGTACGAACGATTACACTTGGTGTGGCCATAACTGATTACGGATAGCTCCGAGCAGCTAGTCGTTATAAGAAGATCGTGAAATATAAATCGTATATAAATACAGCTTGAAAAATTGTAACGTAAACCCATATTCTTCCGTTTAGACGAAGCTGCGGTTTTCTGCCTGCGTAGGAACGCAATGTACTCGTATCTACAGAATTTAATTTACAAGTAGATGAGTTCGATTAAAAATCCGATCGTTAGCAGTAGAAGTCAATTCATTTAGCATCTCATCAATTTCATCAAAAAGATTTGTAAGTGCGAACATGACTAGGACATTCCATTATTATTACTGTATACTTGAGATTGTGATGATGCGAGCCAAACTTGTAGGGTATCAAAAGAAACTAACTTTTTCTAGCAACGATATAGAATCTTTCTATTGAGAGGTATTTTGTACGATTGTTCGTACACACGCGAGGCGACCGAACTATTTTTCAGACTACTTCTACGAAGAAGTGATGCGATTTCCGAGATGAAAGTCAACAGTTGTTACGTTTTATTAACATGATTGTATAAACGGGGAAACAGGAAGAGTTCATTACTTGCTCTCGACGTGAATAGAGTGCAAATAATAATAAAGAGAGATACTTATATACCGATACCTGATCTCTTCTGTTTGTAGTATCCATCCTGGATAAAACGAAGGATAAATTCCTAATTGACTTTCTGTGGAAAGGTAGACGAACATCTTCAAACACATATTACATTTATTTGCGAAGGATATGTGTACACATATATAAATACATAAATATTTATAATAAAATCGCTGAAGTTGATGTCTCACGCGAGCGCGAGACGTCAACGTCAGTCTCCCACCGCTTTCGAGTTCATTGATTGAAAACGGCATCACGAATTATAACGGGTCCAATTTCGACCGGGGGGGATGCGGTGTCTTTATTTACATAGCAAACTATCAAAAATGAAAAAACGCCAGCTTATCTATAAATGGACAATTAAAAAGGTCCATCCTTCACCGTCTAAGACGAAAAATCGAGCGAACACCGCGAAACTCGTATCGTCGCGTAAAAGCTGAAACGAAACTGACTCGTCGATTTGCTTCGCGTTCAAATTGTATTTAAGTTTATGGCAGTATAACACGTTTTCCATCGTGTTCGCAAAATTCTTTTGGTTCGGCGAATAAAAATCGTCGTGCCTCCCTTATCCTAAAAAATGAACTCGTGATACAATAATAATCGCGATTAAAGTCTACGTGATTTGGCAGTTTCTCGTTTTCCCTTTTTGCTGTTTAGTTTAATCGTAACGTGAATCTGAAACCCGACGACACTCTGTGTTTCTTGGATACATTTTTCTCGTTTCTATTCTACTATAGAATATAATTTTATAAAATCTCTTTCAAGTCTGCAACATCGCGCCCCGCCGCGTAAAGCCATTTCACTCTTGGATCGTCGATTGGAAAATGCAATCGGATCGTAACATTTAATAAACGTGTGATCAGAATATACTAATAATAATTAATGCGGTTAATCATAAGGTAATGACAATAATAATAATAATAATAATAATATATTACTCTCGGAATCTCGTATTTTACAGTTTATCTAACAACAACGAATCTATGTAGTTTGCAACAGCCTCTTTAAATATATTCCAGTAATACGTGTGTTGGTCTCGCGATCATTTTTCATCTGCTCGAAAGGATTAACTTCTCTAAAACAAAGACCTCTTTGCTAGGATCGTGTCCAACTTCTTTCTGCGTTCAATCGACTGCTAACACTATCTCTACATATCGTTAGGAAACGCAGAAAAGGAAATCACAGTAGTAAGACGAAAATCCGCAAAGTGTTCGACCTCGATCGATCCATCCTTTATTCGTTCCTCCCCCTCCTGTAAATATGTCTTCTTACCCTAGGTGCCTCTTATGGCTAAAAACTATGCGTTTAGTTTCTTCGTTCTCTTCGAGATCCGTTTCACCGGATCCAGGACCCACAACTCAATTACTTTCTCGTTTCACAATCAAATCCATTATGATCACGTCTCTAGCGATCAAACAATTAGATCTCAACATCGTCGGCCGTCGAGTTCTCACTTCTTTTTCCCCTTGCCGTTCTTCTGGATCTTAGTGATCTTCAATCGGCAATTCGATCCTCCCGTGTATACGACTTCCGCTCTTCCTCCTTCCTCTATAGCAGCGACCAACGCTTTCACCGACTTCACGTGTACATCTTTAATGCTGATATCTAACGAAGTGCCCGGGAAACGGTCCCTGACGCATTTCCCGATACTCGTGGCCTGTGTTTCCGATAAATCGACCCCGTCCAAGCACAGCCAAGTCAAGTACTGAAGATGAGTCAGGATCGTTTGAACAAAGACGTGCTCCATCTGAATCTTCTTCGCGCTATCGGTCATTATCAGCCCGTTGGCCTTCAGGAAGCTCAGGTTACAAAGCTTGAGGTACTTGGCGATTTGCCGCATCGTCTTCTCGCTGTCGTCCAACGTGATCCGCCAGAAGTTGATCCTCAACGATTGGAGGTTGCGAAAGTGCGAGGAGAGACAGGAAAAGAAATGTTGGAGGATCTTGTCGTCGATGAACAACAACGAGCCGCTGCTACCGCCTATCGTTGATTTATCCAGCGAGAGGTCCAGTTCGCTCAAGGCAGTGAAACCAGCCAAAAACGGCAAGAGGAGAGGACCGCGCAGTGCCAGCCGATCGTTGACTGTTACCTGCAATCAGAAATAAAACTATCTCGTTCCTGCATTCGTTTAGGATGCATTTTACCTCAACATAAAGTTCAACATAAACGAACAAGTTCATTTCGTCCGACGACTTAGAAAACGAATGCAGGGTTTAAGAACTGATGCCTTATTGCGCGTGATTTTCTGCTAGTTTACGTAAGAAACCGAAGGCGTGTTGGATCGCAACCGAGCGTGGTGGAGAACCAGTTCCGGATGAATAATCTACTCGCGGTTGGAGATGACCACCGGCCAGACCGCGAACGAATCATCATCAGACCTCAAGTTACGAACAGGGCTCGGGTGTCTCGAACATGTCGTGTCCAATGCGTCGAGAACACGATACCCATTCGCATACTTTTTTTCACAGATTGAGGATCGAAATAATCGAGTGGAATAGGATTATGGGTCACTCTGGTAATAATCTGCATCCGAATCGGGGATCAATTAACGTCCAAAGAGAGGCGGAAAAGCCGCGTTGCTTTCGACTCGTTAAGACGATCTAATTCGTAATTACAAAACTCGCGGCAAGTCAGTGCGACGGATCGTCCTTTTCATCTTGGAAAGAGGATTACTTACTTGAAAACCGGCTAGTCTCAGGAACACAATCGCGGGACAAGCCGGAGGAGGCGCCGCTCTTAGAAGCTCGGCACCGGCGTCGTCCCGACGACCTAATCTCGCCAAAGGACCCTCGTGCACGGCCAGATGCAGTCGCGCGTTGCACAGGCTCAGCTCGCGGACGCTCGTGTATCTCAGCAGCTCCGAGAATACCGACAGACTGTCCGCCTCCTGAAACCCACGTCGTACTTTGCTTCTCAATCGAAACTCGATGGTTTAATCAATTATTAAGGATATATAGGCTACATACTTAAACAATGCTAGCATGTTGAATTTGTTATTATAGATTCCTATTACTATTAAAAATCTAAAATTATAGTGATTTCAAATTTTTCATAGGTAATAGTATCATCTACAACTTTTATTCGAAGCATTTGTCGAAATTCCGTGAAAAAAAAATTTTCGATTTTTCCGAGATTTTTCCAAGGGGTACCC